CCTTCCTACCATAGTTCCCCGATTAACAACTGTACTTTCAGATTCACATAAGGATGTTCAATCAGCTGCAAATGAAGCTTTATTACATTTTGGAGAGGTTATTAGCAATCCGGAAATTCAAGCTCTCGTACAGATTCTACTTCGTGGCTTAAGTGATCCTGATAAAAATACTAATGCTGCATTGAACTCTTTATTAGAAACTGCTTTTGTTCATTATATTGATGCACCGTCATTGGCATTGGTAAGGGGTACTTTATCATTTTCGGATTGTATTCGAAATGATTTGCGAGTTTAACATTGTACCTACTGTCTTTTGTTCTTGAAGGTAATGCCCATTCTTGAGCGAGGCTTGAAAGAGCGTAGTACTGAGGTTAAAAAAAAGTCTTCGCAAATAGTTGGTAATATGGCATCTTTAACCGATATTAAAGATCTTGTCCCCTACTTGCCACGACTTTTACCAAGCCTTAAGGAAGTGTTAGTAGACCCTGTACCCGAAGCTCGTGCTACAGCAGCTAAATCATTAGGCACTATGGTGGAAAAGCTCGGAGAAGACAAGTTTCCAAATCTTGTAAATGAATTAGTTAATACTCTTAAATCAGATACTAGTGGTGTTGACCGACAAGGTGCTGCGCAAGGACTTAGCGAAGTATTAGCAGGATTAGGCATAAGCCGCCTTGAGGGACTTTTATCTGAAATCGTAATTAACGCTACTAGTCCAAAGTCATATGTGCGTGAAGGATTTATTTCTTTACTCATTTATCTTCCGGCAACATTTGGTTTAAGGTTTCAACCTTATCTTGGTCGTATTATTCCTCCAATTTTATCTGGTTTAGCTGACGAATCAGAATATGTACGGGATGCTTCACTTAGAGCAGGCCGAATGATTATTGCAAACTATGCAACTAAAGCTGTAGACCTTTTCCTTCCTGAATTAGAAAGAGGATTATTTGATGACAATTGGAGAATTAGACAGAGTTCTGTGCAACTCATGGGAGACCTATTGTATCGCATCACTGGTATTAGTGGCAAAGTAACTGCTGAAGGAGAGGAAGAGGAAGAAACTGGAGGAACTGAAGCTAGTCGTAGGGTTTTATTACAGGCTCTTGGAAAGGAAAGACGTGATCGAGTTTTGGCCGCTTTATATGTTGTTCGACAAGATGGTAATATATCTGTCGTATTGTTTATAAAATTTTTAAGTAAACTTCTTTTTTCAAGATGAAGATTCTAAAAAATTTATCTTTTGCCAAGTATCCGGTATCGTCCGACAGTCATCTTTACATGTTTGGAAATCTATCGTTTCAAATACGCCTCGCACTGTAAAAGAAATACTACCAATAATGATGGGCTTAATTATTAAAAACCTCGCAAGTCCTAGTTTTGAGAGACGTCAGGTAGCTGCACGTACTCTTGGAGAACTTGTTCGTAAACTTGGTGAAAGCGTTATGTCAGAAATCATACCTATTTTAGAGGAGGGCTTGGAGTCTCCCGAATCAGATAAGAGACAGGGTGTTTGTATTGGCTTAAGTGAAATAATGAGTACAGCTGGAAAGGTACAAGTTATCGACTATGTAGATTCAATAATCCCAGCTGTTAGAAAGGCATTGGTTGATGAATCTGGTGAAGTACGTGAGGCAGCAGCTCAAGGTAAGCTTTTTTTGGATATTGTCTTATTTGTAGTGTTCCAACTTTCATACAAATATTTAATAATCATACATATCTACATTTAAAGCTTTCGACACACTTCAGCAACATGTTGGTGATAAAGCAATCGATGAAATATTGCCTACCC